TTATTATTATTATTATTTATTCTTCTTTTACTAGGGAATTCCCAACAGGCGTCAGCGCCTTTTTACAGGGAACCCTAGGTATAATTTGATGGATGAGCGAAATTCAGCTGGTGAACTAGACATGCGGCAAGCCGGTGGAAGTGTATTCCACCTGGCAGCGCCCAAATAAGAAATTGCACTAAAGCCATATCGGGTGTTAGCGGGGGGCAGAACAAGAGCAGCAGAGACTTGGCCACGGGTGGTGGCTGCAGTGCGAGCACCATGGGCGCGCAAGGTAAAGCGGTCTCGCAGAAGAGGACTAGCAAGTCCATTCAGGCAGCGGTAAACAAATACATAGGTTTTGAAGTTGAGGCGTTTCTCAAGGGCGTACAAGTTAGTATGACTGTATAGAAGAGTGGTGGTATATTTGATAACATTTAATAACGATAAACTTCTGTATCCACTGACGATGTTGTTCAGAACAACGAAACGTCTGGAGAAGTATCGTAAAAATTTCTATCGTTATTAAATGTTATCAAATATACCACTCTTTGGTCTAGAAAGAATACTTCTTGATATAACGTAGTTTCTTTATCCACTGACGATGTTGTTCAGAACAACGAAACGTCTGGAGAAGTATCGTAAAAATTTCTATCGTTATTAATGTTATCAAATATACCACTCTTTGGTCTAGAAAGAATACTTTTTGATATAACCGTTTGAGCCCTACTGGAGATAATTATTATGTTCACTGTTTGGACTGAGCACAATCATGCCCAATCAATCTGCCCAATGTGTGTTCTGTTCCACATAATTAGAACGACCCAGCGCATCAACCCAACTAAACGCACATGTCGTCACTCTAGCATGACTTGTGTTATAACCGGAAAGTACCGCCAGAGCGCCCCACCATCTCATCCTTTCGTGGTCGTATTGTGGAGGTGGTCTGCTGTCTGTAGGTCATACGACATGAACCTTGTACACATATTGCACGTTTTGCAGTCAATCCGTACCTTCAAGCGGACACAAGCTCCACACAAAAACCTGCCAAGTGTGACCTTAGTACACTAAGATTCTCACAGCGTGCACACTTCGTTGCACTCTGCCATACGATTTTCCTTTCTCTGGCTGTGAAATCAAGGTGGGGCGCTCTCGCGGTACTTTACGGTATTGTTTATTTTGATTCGCACAATAAATAGAGCAGAATAAACGTTAACTTGACCAAAGGATAAAGGCGACTGCAGATAGAGGAACACATCGAGGTACATGTACATCAATACAGTATCAGAGAGAAACAAAAAAAAGATGAGAGGTACGCAGAAAAAACTCTCGTAAGCCCAAGTCTGAGGGGGGAGGAGTGGTTGGTGAGGGATGAATGCACTCTCCACGCTCGTCTACACTGTTCGTGGAAATGCACACGATTGCACACATACATACAATAATATACAACAATTACATAGCAGCATGCACAGAACCGAACAATTTCATGTTCACACATGCAAGCACAGACCTGAACATTTGTACCAAAAGCCGGTACAGACAATATCCCCATACACACAGACGCACATCGCACACACACACCACACACACGCACAATCTTCCATGTATGCGCCCGTAGCGAGAAAAGCACGCACATTTTCAAATGCACTGGATATGTACCCACAGATTTTCTCTTATAGCAACGATAGCGGATCTGATTCTGAATGATACACACACACACACACACACACACACAAACAATAATGCCCATCCGCAGATGATGGCAGGTCCTGAAAGGATCGAAAGTGTTTCAGTCATGGGGAAAAGAGCTTCAAGTGGCGAGTGAGGTATACACACACACACGTGCGCACGTGCGCACGCGGGCACACATTGTGCTAATCATTGGTTGGGGAACGGAAAGGAAAATAATTCATTGTAGTAGGTTATTGTTGTATGGACACTAGGAGCACAACAGAAAGGTAACTGAGCCACTTGCTTTGAAGCAATGCAAGTTATTATTCCACGGATGTCAGCAGGAAAGAACGTTTCAGAATGCTGCACTGGCAACAGACGGGCTGCATGTGCGCGACCCCTGCAGTCGGTCTAAGAATGTGCAGTACAGCACGTCACGTAGTATCACAGTCTGGACAAATAGGTGCCGGGAAGTCCTAGATATGTGCTCATCTACACCACGATGCACCAATCTTCTGAGCTGCTTTGGCAACAACTTTGTCCACTTGAGACTCCCATGGGCTGAGCCAGTTGCTGAGGGCTGCACCAAGGTGAACGGCAATGACCGCTGATGGCAATACAACTCCATGACACACAGTCACTAGGGCATCGTCAACATAGCGCTGAGGCTGGATCGATAAAATCTGCTTTAGGCTGGGTTGACAAGGAGGCCGCTGTCTTGAAGCTAGTCAGCCTGGTCACCGCCATTGACGAACCAGTCGCCACAGCAGCGGCGGTCGGTTGTGACAAGTGTGGCGCAATATCGTCAGCAAATTCAGTACTCGGGATAAAATGAGTGACAAAGGGAACGTTGTGTGTGTGTGTATAATAATATTGAAGTGAACAGGGATGATCACAAACCTTGCGGGTACTCCACCGTGAGTTACAAGAAAATTCCGGACTGGACAACGAGCAAATGCCAACCTGCTACACTCCACCCAGGCAGATACTATTATGATAGCTGCCAAACCCGGCAGGTCAATGTCGCCCACTGTATAATGTCAATGTCAAACAGATCCTGCAGGACAAGACTGGGGTGTTGGCGTCCAGTGTACAGACACCAGTCACATTTCCTGCGCCTTTTGCAGCATACAGGATAGACTCATCACTGTAGTCTTCATGAGTTTTATTTGTAGAATACAGTTGAACATCGATTATCCGACCACCTCTGGGCAGACAACTGTCAGGCGGTGTTCAGATAAGGCAAATGTTCCGGATAAGAAAAAAACTGTCACTCACACACTTTCAGTGGTTATTACTAGCCGCACGACCTTTTTACTTTTTACTTTTCAAAATTTTCGTATTTTTTGAATGGCTCACTACATGCACATGCACAGTGCGTACTCTACGGCACGTGCGCCCAAAAAAACTGTTACAGATAATCGAATGGTCGGATAGTCGATGTGCGGATAATCGATGTTCAACTGTACATGGCACTGAGGCGTAGAGGGTGTGCCTCGCAGGACTGCGAGATGCTGCAGAAGACCAGGTTCAACCATTCTGGACGGCCATTCACCGACGGTGGGCTACACGATGCTGGAGGAACTAGATTCCAGTGAAAACCCAAGATTCTGTTGCTCCTTGACGCTCCGACGTGTTGTGATATCTGCCAGGTGCGCAATAACTAGTATTTTCATCGCTATAGCGAGGACGACGCCGATCGGCAAACTCTCGCTCACAGCCATCACCAGCCTCTCAAAACCATCACTTGGCATCCCCAGAGGTATTTTAGGGTTTTACGTCGGGCCCTAGACGACGGCTACTTTGGCCAACCGGACAACGAAGAAGTTGTGACCAAAGAGAATGATTTTATTTCTTGCGCATGCGCATGTAGAATGACGTAACAGTCAGTGAGTCAGGTCGCTACAGTACTCCCCCGCCAGTGGTGAGGTCGGGAGGAGCGAAGCACGATAAACAAGAAACAAGAAAGAAAAGAGAAAGGAAAGCGCAGCATGTACAAGGCGGAAAGGCAAAAATATAATAATATGATACATATGTACAGGCGAGAGCGCTGCGTGTATGAAATTTGTTTGTGACGTGGCAACAAAGGCCGAAACAAAATCAAAAATGCAGAAAGCGGAAATGAGAGAGATGCATGACAGAGGCGGGTTAACATGTCAGAGGTGTGTTAACGTGACAGAGGTGGAGAGCATGTCAGAGGCAGAAAGAAAGGAAATGTACGCGTGACAGAGGAGTATTATCATGTCAGAGGCGGCTGCATGTTGCAGACTTGGCGGGATACCAGCAGGAGCGCTGCACTGGGGCGAGGCGTGCCGACTGAGGCGGGGACAGATGGAGGCGAGCGCAGCTCCATGGGGTCCGGTGCCGGGCGTGTGCCTGCGTGCGTGCACAGTTGGGCTGGTACGGATGGTGGAGGTGGCCAATTTCCAGCTTGAGGCCAGGACGAATACGGACGACGACGACGACTGGACGATGCCGTGGCAGGATAGCGGGGTATCCAGGTGGGCCGGGGAGGGTGGCAGGGGCCACAGCAGCTCCGAGGCGGATCCAGTGACGAGTGGTGGTGAGGCTCAAGTTTTACGTCAACAGCCGGCGATTGACGGGATCCCGAGAGTTGAGGCGAGCAGGAAACTGCGGCGGGCCGAGCTCAGGGATGGCATGCTCAAAACTCCGAAGAGCGCAGCGTCAGGGTCACCAATTTAGGGTTTTACGTCGGGCCCTAGACGACGGCTACTTTGGCCAACCGGACAACGAAGAAGTTGTGACCAAAGAGAATGATTTTATTTCTTGCGCATGCGCATGTAGAATGACGTAACAGTCAGTGAGTCAGGTCGCTACAGTATAGGATAAAGCCGAAACAGCTTACAACAAACAAAAAGCTAAGGACGATGGAAAGAGAGCATGTCAAAAAGAAGACGAACAGTATGAAGTTCAAATGGTTTTGAACACTCGGACCACCAACTACCGTCTTATCTCTAATATTAGAGATAATTATTATAAGCACGGTCCTTTATTTTTTCAATGTACCTCGAACACGCATACGGACCAGGACCGTACGCGGTCCATTGCTGTCTGCTGCATGCAGTGCGATCTATCAATCCTACATGTAGCTAAGCAGCTGGTGGTAAAACATTTGTGGATGAATTAAAAATCATTTTTACCAAATAAATCGATTAGGCTTGGTGCATGTACGTACATGACTGTAGTGCCATACTGGTACTGAGTAGATCTACGTACAGTGACCATGGTGACTTTGTCTTCGAGTTGAGAGTGTTCTGTGTTGGTGTATCTACCTTGATCTAGTACTGGTCAGGGTGTTGTGTGTGTGTGTGCAGCTGTGTTGATTAGCCATGTCCAGACCAGAGTGCGGATCTTGTAGAAGTAGTAGTAAGCATGGCAAGCTGCTAAAGTGTCTTCACTCGTTGTGTGTGGAGTGTTTGGAAAAATACATCAATGGCAAGGGCTCTGTGGGATGTCCTGAATGTGGAAGAGTTACTCCAGCATCGACTACTGGTGTGCCCTTGCTACAGTACCTGCCAGACAGTGATGTGTCTAGTGATGGGTTTCAAGAGGAGGTAGCAGTTGCAAGTGCTGGCCGTGAGAAGTTGTGTGATGAATGTGCTGAGGATACTGCAGCAGTGGCTGTTTGCATGGACTGTGGTGACAATTTCTGTGCTATCCACGCAGAGGGTCACCCTGTATCTCGCAGGTCGTACAAACACACTCTTGTGTCGCTCAGTGAGGCTGCAGAACGTACAGGTGGTAACACTCCAGCCAGCCAGCACAAATGCTCATTCCACCCCTCGTTTGTACAGTGTTCGTACTGCTTGAGTTGTGAGCAGCTAGTGTGCAAGCAATGTCTAAGCAGTGGCGATCATGCTGCTCACAATGTGCAGACTATCACTGATGCATCTTCTAGCATTCGTCAGTCCTTGAAAGCCAAGCTGACTAGCACATCACATGGAAGTGGCAGTGTTTTTGACGAGTCGATCAAGAAGTCTGAAGCAGCACTGAGTGGACTCCGTGATGACACTGAAACTGTGTCCTCCCATATCAACGACGTTTTTGGTGGCCTTAAGAGAGCCATCGAAAACCGTCAGCAGGAGCTTGTGAATGAGGTGGATCGATTGCAGTTGTCACATTTTCTTCCCCTTGAAGAGCAGAAGCTGCAGGTACTTGTTGGTGCATCGTATAGCAAGAAAGTTCAACATCTGGCAGAGAACTGCAATGAGGATGTGAATTTCTTGAAGATGAGTGGATGGCTGGAGGAAGCAGCGAAGAATGCGATTGGTGCGTTCGAGAGAGATGTGACGGCGTTTGCTCCGGGAACTCTATTGTTTTCGCCATACCACGTTGAGGAACTCACTGCGGCCATTGCCAGAACTGGTGTGGTGAGTGAAATTGGTATGCTGTCATCGGAGAAGAGTAGCATGACTACTGCAGCCCGTGTTGAGGAGGGAGACGACCTTACTGTGGTCATTGAGCCAAGGAATGCCCACGGTGATAGTCTGGCTGTGACGGAGGCACATTTGTCTGGTGTTCACGTTGAAGTAACATCTGCAGACAACACCACCGACACAATTCAGCCTGTGATGATGCCCGGCAGTAGTCCTCATGAAGGAACTAACATGATTGCAACGTACAAAACGACCGGAAAGAAGGGTTCAGTGCAGCCATCAGCCATGATTGGAGATCACCATGTAGCTGGAAGTCCCGCAACGGTTACCATCGTGGATCTTCTACTACAGTTTAATCCCGGCCAATGTCATGCTGATCTTGCACTGTCAAACAACTACCGAACGGTTACTCGTGGAGCTACTTCTACCGGGAACTGGAGGTCAGTATGTGGCGTGAAGAAATGGAGTAGCGGCAAACACGAGATATCCCTCCGTCTTGATCGAATCACTGCTGGTGACGTTCGGCAATTGTTCTTCTTCTGTAATGCCCAATATCCACGACTAGACACCTTTCACAATGGAGAGACAGCCTCTTTTGGATGGTTCAGCCACGACACCTCAGGCTATGTTCACTGGACGGGCAGTGCACTGGGTCAGCCATGGCGAGCCGGTGACGTCATTCACATGACATTGGATTGTGACAATCACACGTTAGTCGGTCGTCATGAGCGTACTGGAGCAACCGAAACACTGACCAACTTGACAGGGGAACTCTACCTCTACATCAGCCTTAAGTTCAGTGGAGATCAAGTTACTATTTTGTGAAGCTTCAAGCTTCTTGATTCAAAAGAATGCGGTTATGCGTGCATATTATATGTGTGTGTGTGTGTGTGTGTGTATGTGTGTGTGTGTGTGTGTGTGTGTGTGTGTGCGTGCGTGTGTGCGTGCATATGTGTATGTGTACTACTACTACTACTAGTAGTAGTAGTAGTAGTAGTAGTAGTGTGTGTGTGTGTGTGTGTGTGTGTGTGTGTGCGTGCGTGTGTGCGTGCATATGTGTATGTGTATGTGTGCAGTGTGTGTGTGTGTGTGTGTGTGTGTGTGTTTGTGTTGTGGCAGCATGCAGCACCATTCCTCCGACTGAGCCCGTCACCTTAGACTTTGTTTGCACTTGTGGAACGCTCTATCGCCGTCGCCAGGACTTGACTCGCCACGCTCAATTCTGCTCGTGACTTGAACACTGTTGGTCCCTTTGGGACCTGCTATCATCTCTGGATGGGCATATTGTATTGTATTGTATTTAGAAAAGCGATCCTGTCAGCTTTTCTATTATTGTGTTCACATGGCAGAAAAAACGACATCGCTATGCTACGTAAGTTTCTACGTAAGGTGCTCGGTATTTCACTTAGGCTACTTAAGTCTCTACGTAAAGTGCTCGGTATCAGATCTACCAACGGGTGGTAGCCGAGTGCTGTGCACGTGCACGGCAGACATTGCGTTGCATGTGCAGTCCGTGTTCGGATGTGCGTGCGCGAGGAACTTCCTTCTTTGGAACTGCTTCTTGTATGAGCTGTTTCGGATATTTCGTCTCCTGGCCTGGCTTATTTCGTTTCGGTGCTGCTGAGACCTCCTTTCGCGGAATATTACTCAATGACAGGTGAGTTGACCAGTTCCCTTTGATTCATTTGCTTGTGTTCTTTTATTTACGAAAAGTGTGCTGATTTTGGGCGGAATGCAATAAATAATGGAAAAGCTGACAGGATCTCTTTCGCTGACAGGTGATCTCTGAGTTGACCAGCTTCCTTCGATTCATTTGCTTATGCTCACCCTTTCATTTACGGAAACGTTTGCTGATTTTATTCGGATTTAGATCCATTCGTTTCTCTTTGCCCTTGCCAACAGTGTGCGAAGAACGCAAGTTCACCTTCTTGACGGTAAGGCTTATGTTGCTGCTGAGGCTTTAAATAGATGTGTTGTCGAAATACTCATGTTCATTGTACATTGGTACGTTACAAGTAAGGCACTGGTCATGATTGCTTCCGGCATTCCGTGCTCCGATCATAGGGTAGAATCTGAATTTTGCAGTGGCATAGCATCGTTGGCAGTTCCCAATCTGGAGGGAAAGGTTCAAAGACGCATTGGCCGAGTACTAGTATGCAAAATACATTCGCATATCAGAAAAAATCTCCATTATGGAGAGGTTCATGCATTCAGTGACTTGTTTGCTTCATACGAAACAAGCCAATGGGTGCAGTCTCGTCTCGTGAAAATCTCGTACGATTGGATTTGTTAACTCGAGTCTGGGCTGTTTGATTTGTGAGTAGCGCCGAGATTGCACTGCCCCAAATAAAGTTGCGTGCCGGTAGAGCAAGAATTACGATCTGCAGTCTGTTTGTAGTACCTGCAAGAATGTGCTATACATGTATCGTGTTTTCTCTGTTGTTGTTTCAGTTGCCGTCATGTTGCTAAAGAAAGGTTCAGTGACTCATTTGTTTCATAAAAGACGAGTCAATGGTTTGGTCTGGCTTAGAATCTTTCGCTGTAGAAGAAATCTATTCGTGTCTCTATTAGAGAAATAATTGTATTCACTCGTTATAAAATAGGGTTAACACAAACTCACAGAACAAATGCCATCGGTCCCTTGATGTTCGTCCTAAAGAGGTTTGACTGGATATCATTCATACTCCCCCGAAGTCGTGTAACATTTTACTATTATGGAGTGCCTTGTTTATCTCTCAGTACCTAAAACCATATATCCTTGCCCCTTATATCCTCAGGATCAGTGTAGTTGTTGGAACGAGGTGTCGGACTCAGCGATGTATTTGTTTACATTTTAATGCATGTTTATTGTTCCTACTTTGCTGTGTTGTTTTAGACAATCGTTGACTTGTAACACTTTGAAGTCATTGAACTGCTTCCAAAAGTTTTATCGACATCAACAGGATTACGATTTCACTACAATATGATGCCGGATGACCTTATCACGACAACCCATGACTACAATATATTATTATAAACACAGAATCAACAAAACATCTGCGGCACACACCTGGTTACAATTCTCAAGTAAATGTGATTTAGGGTGTGGACATCTGAATTTTCTGAAAGACAAGACAATTTTATGAGTCATGAAATTCTGCAACATCCACAGAATGACTTGCGTATAAAAAAAGTATCACCGCCACGACCCATATGATTCCCCTGCAGAAGAACATGAATACATAATGCAAGACTAGTTCCATTTTCTGCAAGAAAAGGCTTGCACATCAATGCGTATAATACGGTATTGAATTTGATATGATACACATAGGGGCTCCCGTAAGAAGAACATAGGAATGGGGGGAAACATCCTAGTAAAATAAATAAAATAATAATAATATCATGCAGAGGCGCTACATGTAGGCCATCATTACGGCATTCCGTTGGTTACACAATCATATCCTTTAGCCAAAAAAAAACAAGAAATTATAGCAATAAAAACTGCTTTATGGCAGTTTTCTAAAAAGTTATTGTGTTCTAGTCCATGGACCTCGTCTAAAAAGTAAGAAATTAACGAAATGTGATAGCCGAAAATTAAAATTTCACACAAAACCTCACAATAATCACACACAAGATGCGAGGCGACCTTTTCCCCTCGTGGTCCTCTTTCATATGCAAGCATGTTGGCGCAGTACATGTACTTGTACAAGTGTCGGAATAAACAAGTGTTGAAAGCCGTACTATTAGATCTTCAAGTGTCGTGATCATTGTGAGGTTTTGTGTGAAATTTTAATTTTCGGCTATCACATTTCGTTAATTTCTTACTTTTTAGACGAGGTCCATGGACTAGAACACAATAACTTTTTAGAAAACTGCCATAAAGCAGTTTTTATTGCTATAATTGTGTGTGAGAGAGGAAGGCATCAGAATCCAGAGTGAGTGAGCCAGTACCCCTCATGGCCTAGCTACTCTGCAATGTGTTGCACCCTATCTGCTGTGTAGAGGATGCTCGCTGTCTTGCTCTCTTCTAGTTTATAACAATCGTCATGCTGTTCGTTCTAGTTCCTTAATTTGTTATGTATATAACAGCCTAGTGTTTATTATCATAGTTAACTGGTGAATGTGTTTAGTCACTACATTTCCTGACGTTTCCATTGATTCTGTTTCCTACTCTGTTTGTTATTGTGTTTATTTCTGCTGTGGTTGGCTCCAAAGAACTAGGGAGTCATTTTCTACGTTGCATTTATGATAATCAATGAGCTATACGTGTGCATTTCAACCGCCCACTGTTTCTTTCACCACTATTGTGTTTGTTGTCTTTTTCCTCACTGACCTGCTGAAATTTTGTAAAGGAGGCAACTGCATGAGACGATGACGAGAAAGTGGGAAACGGTCTTGCATCATCGTTGTACTAAAGGACACTGAAACAAAATTGAACTATTATAGAAAAGCTAAGTTAGAGATATAACACCAAGAACAACAGCAGTGAAATTTACGGTCTTGCATGTTGATTGTATAGACCAACCTCCCTCTCCGTATTGAAAGGTGTAGGAGTCACCAACCAACCCACACCCAAAGGGGTTTGATAGATACACTGAGCTAGAAAGTAGCGGAGGGAAGGAATTCGGAAAGTAATGATGTACGCATGCTCTTGTGACCAGTACATGGTATGCGGCAATGGTGTACATGTAATGAGATCACCTTGATGCTCTTACCGATGATAGACTGACTGCTCCATGGGAACAGGCTGTGTTCTTCTTGTGTAATGTCCAAATTTCTATGACTGTTGTCAATGTGGAGGGACAATAATATTTTCCATGGGTGCACAAGTATCAATGCGAAAGATAACATTGTTTTGATGGTGTTGATACAGCAGCCACACTGGTAACTGTACAGACAGTGAGTTGGGTCAGCCATGGTGAACAGTGAAAAAACACTTCGAAAAGATATGTGGTGTATGCTTATCTAAAGAGAAGCGATCAATTCTTTAGCCTTCCAAGCTGTTGAATGGTGCAATCCCAGCAGAAGCTGCCTGGGCTTCTGCTGTAGCAAGACCGCTGGAAGCAGTTATGATTGGTCCGGCCATGCCATGATCTTTCATACAGTTTGTGTATGATATAGTGGGTACGCATAACCTCATCAGCAGTAAACACACGTTGATGGCCAACAAGTTGGTCCAGTGATGATCTGACCAACTGGACCGGTTCTGGCGGACCTGTGTAGCTTCACTATCGACCAACTAAGGTCTAGGATGTGTGTGAGTGTGCATGTGTGTGTATTTGTGTGTGTGTGTGTGTGTGTGTGTGTGTGTGTGTGTGTGTGTGTGTGTGTGTGTGTGTGTGTGTCGTAGGGTCCAGCGGATAATGCCGGCATTATATTCGGCATTATACGACTATCCGAGCATCAGAGCATTATGGAGCATTACAAAGGAACAAAACGAGCATTATGTGAGGTTTGAATGGCATAAACGAGTTTCATAGTGGATGATATCGGGAAATCCCAGGTTTTGGGAACAATCGGCTACAATCATGATCATGAGATGTTGTCTGATGATTGGTTTTTGCCATGAAACTCTGAGTAACAACGAAACAGCCCTATCTTACTCCTTTTGTGTACCCCTTCCGTACTACGCTCCGCCCATTCCGGGCATTTGAGCACTATGCATTGTACCGGCGCTTGACTTTGTGATTGTGTAGACACTTAACACCTTCACAACTAGCGCTACATACTAGTAACTATTGCTACATAAATATGTTATGACTGTAGCGATGTGGTCAGGTAAATGAAGCCATTTGTGAAGCATGCCCAACCGAGGCCGAGGCAGTTCAAGTGACACAAATCCGGAG